TGAGTTATTTCAGTATAAAAGTAGGAAACGTCAAAGATCACCAAAGCTGGAAACACTTATCCTCTGGGGATCATGAATACCTTTACACAATTTTATGCTCATTTATTAAGTAGACGTTTGATATACTTCACTGAATACGTGAAGCATTTGATCTGCTTGTGATGCTACAGACAAAGTCAGTCGATCATCAGTGTTATTTGTGTATATCCTCTGGATAACATGAATTTCTACAGTAAGTGTCCTGCTAAGCTTTTTCACTACAAACCACAAGAGTCATTGTCATGGTTAAACAAGAGGGAAAAACAAAAGATCATTAAAACTAAGATGTAATTATCTGGGAACCATAAAGGTTTGAATTATCTTTTTTCATAAGTGAATCTGAGGGAAAGTCATCCTCTGGGGACCATGAGCCCCATTACAGAGATTTATGCCAACTCCCTAGAAATAAATAGATTTTAATGAATGAAATTTGCCTTGCTTGTGGCTAATAAATTGATTCTCTGGGCACCATAAAGATCTAAACCAAATTTTCATACCAATCCATGTAGGAGTTGTTAAGGTATTTCATTTCATTTATATTTTTTAACTGAGGAAAACTCACTCTCTGGGTAACATTAAGGAAGAGTCAGAAGACCACCACAGTGAAACGAGTTTATCCTCTGGGCACCATGGATCCATCCAATAGTTGTTGGTATAAAAAATGAGGAAAGGTCATCCTCTGGGAATCTTGAATGCCATTAAAGAGTTTAATGCCAACACACTTAGGAGAAAAGTATATTTTTTACTGAATACAAGAAAAGTTTGACCTGCTTGTAATGCTGCAGGTAAAGTCACCAACTTGAGCTCATCTTCTTGGCACCATGAACATCTGAACCAAATTTCTCACTAATCCATCCTGTTGCTGAGACATTTCAGTGGAAATAAAAAACAGTTTCATGGCTAAAAATAAGGAAAACGTATCAGTTAAACAAACCAAATGCAGTAAAACTTATTTTTATTGTCAAAGAAAAGTGGACAATAAAATAAAAACAGGAAAGTAAATGAACAAACAGCGTCTCCAACAACCAATCATGAGGTAAAATGCCAATAGTGTGGTTTTAAATGTGATTTGATTGAAGAGCGAATACACAACCATGTCTGCTGTTTTTTTTACAAACAGTCCTTTCTCCTACTGAAGTGTATTCACACCTCAGAATACACAGAAAGTGGAAGTATTGTCTCAAAAGTAAACTGCACGAATGGATTCCTACAGATGAATGTAAAATAGAACAAGCATCACTGTACACTGATTGCACTTTCACACACTTTCACACATTTTAGAGGAAAATTACTGCATCTGGAACTGTCTTCATGCGCAGTGATTTGGTTTTATTAGTCCGGCTTCTGTTCATGCTTCGTGCAATAAAAACACAGCCACCCTGTCGAGTCCCAAGTGTTGTTCTTGGCACATGGAAGGTCAGGTATTAATTTACAAAACCTTTCTAAAGTGAGCATTTTCCCCTCTTAATAGCTCTATGTTGGAGAATTTTGCCTCAAGCTGTTTTTACAAACTCAGATATGTGTCCTCTACTGCTTTGCTTTGCATCTATCAGGTATAAAGTCACAAAGAAAGAGATTACTAAGTACTTCTACAAGCAATATTTCAGTCTGATTCTGTTTCTTCTGCCAACGTATCCTGCATTATTAGTTCAACTGGTCCTTGTTATTTTTGAAAAATGCATACAGAGAAGAGTTAGTACCAAAAAACAACCCACGCAAAGAAAGAAAGCTAAAACAGTAAATCACTCCTACACAAAACATAATTTGGCAAATGTCTCATAAATCATCATCGTAGTGCTCCAGTCTGTATATTAAAACGTCGCCTCCTTCCCCCTGCAGTTTTCATTCGGTTATTTCTTCCTCTGTAAAACAAACAGATTGTTCCTCTGAAAACATCCACCATGAGCCCCTCTTCGCCCCAATAAAAAGATGTAAACAGGGACCTGAAGGCCTGGTCACACCTTAAAACGGTCACATTTTTGTGTAAGATCAATAATTCCAATGGTTTCGAGTTGGTGAAGCAAATCTATGCGAATGCCGTGTTCATGCCACATCATAGTTATCGTATTTACCAGTTTTCTACTTTTTATAAATCCAACTTGTACAGAAGTGCCGTGATGTGCCAAAAAATGATGTGAAAGTGTTTTTACTAGTTAAAACAGCTTTAAAAGGCTAGTTCAGCTCATATAATTTGTTTTCCAGCTGCTAAACTAACGTTAACTAACTAACCCCTAAACTTTTTAGGTAACTAAAAAGTAACTGCAGGATGCTACCGTAGTTTTTAGCCATGTTATATTTAAACTGATATTCAGGAAGCACTTGCTCACCAGCAGCTACTGAATTAAGTAATTTCTTGATTAAAATTCTATCCTGAACTATCACGAGAACAAAAAGCACAAAGAAGAAGAGAAGTTAGGAGACAATAGGTCCAAGTACTCTTGTGAACTTATTTCCTTGTTAGCAAAGAGTTTACGATGTGTGTTAGCAGCTCGCTAATTCACTACTGCTGACCATTTACATATGTTTGAACTTTTAGCTTTACTTACTTGTTGTGTGGCCACATACATTAAGTGATAATGCATATGAAAATTGCTTTTTAAGCTCTGGGAAAGGTTTATAAATACAAAAAATATTCATGATAGAGCACCTTGTTAGCAGTTTCAGATGTCCTGTCAACTGATTTACAGACAATTCCTTTATACTGGTGGTGGCTGCAGTACCAGTAGTGGCCACTGGGAGAAACTGACAGTGAGACTGAGCAATGGCGGTACGTCCATAGGTGTCCTTCCTTCACAGGAACTTCCTTCCTTTGCAGAACCATTTCAGGTGCAAAGTATCTCAAATGTTTACAGGAAAGGTCATCTTATCAACTAATTGATCCCTTCTGTTTCCATTGTAGGACTACCACAATGTTAACTCGGAATACACCAAAACAAATAGTAGTTCCTGGATGTAACTCCAGTTCTGTGTTGAAAATAGAAAAATGGAGGTTTGTTGTGTTACAATATTTGGTGAATTTGGTGAACTGCTATTAGACAAGGACTTTCAAGAGGACAGAAAAAAATAGGCTTGTTGGCCTTTTTGAGTTTCACCTGTGGTTCCAGCAGTCAGTTTCTCAAAGAAAGACTTCAGCTATGGATTAGGTCTTCAGAACTAAATATATCTGCTGCACAAAGTTCTACAGTTTGTAACAATCCTAATTTGCAATGAGTTCAAGATATTTTCAGACATTTTTTTAAACTAAAAACTCTGCTCTAATTGGTTAAACTCGGACAGGACAATGAAAGCAATCACTGTTTTTCTGCCCTCTTGATGTCTTTGTCAAAACGCACCAACCACGTCACTGAAGTCATAAAACTCTCCATGTAAGCTAACATAACAAACCTCTATGTTTGTATTTTCTACATGCTAATAGAACTGGAAGTACATTGTGGTCAAAGTTGTTTGATTCTACAATGCAATGAAAGGTTGAAACGGCTGATTAGGGGGCATTTGTGCAAAGTTTCGTGTCATCTTGCACCTGTTCTGAGTTCCTGCAGAGGTAAGCTCGCTTCAGACTACAGGTTGTAGGTACAGTTGTGGCTCAATAATCCGACCCTTAACAATCCCAATAGGTTTTTAGGAAAACTGAACGGAACCCTTAAAAAATAGCCTTAACATACTGACAGCCTTGGATTCCGACTCAGACATGACATGACCCCGGGGGTGCACTCCGACGGGGTGGAATTGTCCGGAACGTGCAGAAGTGCACCGGTCAATTAGGCGTGAAATCCAGTGATGCGTAGTGTTCAAACAATACACTAGTTATTATAACAACTATAAACAATGAATATTAACCACAAATGACCCTTCAAGCATCAAGCCCTCCTTGTATCTCGACCTCCGTCTTGACAATCCAACAGCCTTGCTATCCGACATAAAAGAAGGTTTTACATTTAGTGTCGGATTATTGAGTCACAACTGTATTTTGTGTGGAAATGCAGCGATAACTTCAGGGTCTAATGTCCGGGGACTTTACAGAGAATTGTAGGTCTATGCACTGATTGGTTAAATTCAGACAGGACAACAAAAACAATCACAATTTTTGTGCCGTTTCGATGTCCTCGTCCAATAGTATGTTTTGGGTGGAAATGCACCATTGGTTCCAGCATGTTAATTTTTCTAATGTTGTAACGTAGCCAAAGGTTCCTTTAGTCCTTTGTTTGGGTTTCTGACATGATCTAAAACCCTGCAAAAATGAGGCAAATTTGTCTGCTAACATTTGAAAAAACATCTAAACAACAGGTTGTTTGTAGCAGCCTGAACCTTTGAGCATGTTCTAACTGCATGAACTGCCCCTGCAGAACCTCCATCAGGGCTGATTATAAGGGGAACTAGTTCCTGCTCGAGCAGAGATACTTCCAAGCAGCCATGGAAAAACTCAAAAAGTCTTGACACTGTTAAACTTGAAGTAGGCGAATGCTGATTGGTGAAACTTGGGAAGTTTGTAACCCCTTTCTAACATCTACATTAGCAACACGAAATCCTCCATAAACGCTAACATAGCAAACCGACGTAGTTTTATTCCCTGCGTGCTCATAGAACTTAAGTTGTGTCCAATAACTGCTATTAGTTGTTCTCGCAGCGCTAAAGTTGTCACTAAAATGAAGATATGCAGCTTAAATTCACTGTGCTACTTTTTGGTGTGTCCAGGCCTTAACTCTGAAAACTTGTTTTTGCTCAATGTTTCACCAGAACAGATTTGATGTTGATGATGTGAACTTCTGCTGCTGTACGTTGTGGCATCTTTGTTCAGTAGGCATTGAGGATGTATTTCCAGCATGAATCAAAATGTAATTCTAAAAATACTTTAAACATCTTGAAAAGGACAATAAAGGACTTTTTAAAAAAAGAGTCTGTTATTCCCAGTTGCATCGAGAAGGGTTCTTAGTGTGTAAGGGAATCCCGAAAGCAATTATTCCTCAAAGGAGGGTGTCAATCCGGGTGCTGGGGTCTAAAGAGTCTTCGAGGCTGAACAGCTGGTCCAGATTGACGGTGGAGCTGCAGAGGAAATCACTGCGGCCCTGATCCTCCTCCTCCGGCCAGGGGCTCTCCAGGAAGGCTGTGGCCAGGAACGTCTCCTCGTCAAAGTCGGTACTCCTCTGGATGTCTGCAGTCTCTGTTGGAGCATCAACAGGTGAGATGTGGGTCCCCCTCACTGTCAGGTCCTCCTCCTTCATGATGGGGCTCAGAGGTTCACCTTCCTCCAAGCTCAGCTCCCCGCTGAGGGCCGAGTCCAGCAGGGCGTCCCAGTCAAAGTCCCCCTTCAGGGGTCCAATCTCCTTCTGTTCATCCACAGACAGCAGAGGGGAGCTGGAGCGTCGGGGGGCTTTGCCGACACCATTTCGAGAGCCCTGTGACTGTTTCCTCTTGTGCCCACCTCTTCCCCTGACCACCGGCCAGGACCCCAGCATGGTCCCCTCAGCCAGATGGGGGTCCCAGTTCTGGTCGGCCCCTGTTGCCTCTTCGAATTCCCGGAGAAGCCGCTGGGACTCTGGGTTGATGCACAGGCTGATCTGACCTCCGGTGGGGCTGCAGGGTCCTCTGGACTGGGGCTGAAGGTTGACCCTGAGGCGGGTCTGCAGTGCCGGATTGATCTGGACCGGGGGCATTCGTCTCTTCTTGTAGGCACCACTCAGGAGGCGATCAGCGTACTGTGGGTCAATCTTCCAGAAACCGCCCTTCCCAGGCTCATCCTTCTGCCGGGGCACCTTGATGAAGCACTTGTTGAGTGACAGGTTGTGTCGAATGGAGTTCTGAAAAGAGAAATGCTGATTTTGTAAGACATCTAACAAAATATCTTCATTAAACACCGTCTGGCTTTGAATTAATAATCTTTGGAAACAAGATAATTCACTTCCTTAGTGACAGATTTTTGATAACCGTCTCGTGGCAGTAGGGTAAATAACAAGTCACAACCAGCCGCTGGTTAGCTTAGCTTAGCATAAAGACAAGCAAACATGGGGGAAACAAAAACAAAGGAAAAACAGCCTGGTTCTGCCAAATGGTAGCATATTCACCCCTAAAGCCCAGTGACATCAGATACTGGTAAAACCAAATTAGTCCATGTATCTTTAAAAAAAAAAGAAGTTTTTTGGGTCGTTTGCCTAACTCCTTGAACTTCTGTCTGTTCTCTCTGTACCTGGACATTTACTAGCATTTAAATTTTTTACACTAGGCTAACCACCAGCTGGCTATAGCTTCATATTTATTAGCGCTTATAGGTATGAGAGTGGTATCTTTCTTCTAGGCAGAGCCAGGGTAGCTGTGTTCCTAAGTTTGAAGTGTTTAGACGAGGCTAAGTTCAGCCAAGCTAACCAGATGTCACTGACTCGTCATATTTGCCATGTTGATATGTCAAGTGGCCTCTTTCTCCTCAGAAAGAAAGGCAGAGTCCAGCTAGCTATTTCCTTCTCTTTCGAGAATTTATGCCAAGCTAAGTTAAGCTTACCAAGTGCTGGTTAAGTGTTTTCCAAGTTAGTCTTTATGCTAAGTTAAGCAAAGCTAACCAGCTTCTTATCCGTTTAATGTTTACTGCACTGATATGAGTTTGGTATCATTCTTCTCAGCAAGAAACGCAGCTTTTCTAGGCTTTACGCCAAGCTAACCTAAGCTAAGCTAACCAGCTGCTACACATTTACCACACACACATATGAGTGTTGTATGATTTTTTTTTTTGCAACATTTCCTTCAATGTGTTAGAACTTTAGAATCAACTTTAAACAGATGCCACTTTAATATTTCGCCTGTTCAGACAGGAATCACAGAGTGCAGAGCTCCGAACATCACATTAACACACTGTGCAGCTTCACATTCATCGTCTTCACTGGAGTATAAATAAAGCTGTGACCCTGTGACCTTTGTTAAATATTATCTGCCCCATGTACAGCTTAACAATAACAGAATGCTCTGAAATGTCTGAAACACATGAGAACAGCTAACAGCTCCATCAATCATTTATCCACTGAAATTAATTTTGTGGAAAATTCCTGCACTTTGGAGGGAGAATCTGGTGAACTTGGCTGTCCTGTAACTCCTCCATCAACCGCTTCAGTCCGAGCAGAGGAGTTACATGAAAACAGACAAAAAGGACATTTTGAAGGAAAAAGTGTGTAAGTTTTCTTTTCAGGGTTTGTGCATCGGAGTGTTTCTACACTAAAAAAAAAAAAAAAAAAAACTGTAAAGCTGTGTTTTTCTGGCAGCAGTGGTGCAAAAAAAGAAAAATGCAAAATAAGGGAAAATGATACACTGGTAAAAACATTCATTCCACATTGATGTTGTAAAGACTTCTGTAATTATAAATGTCACATTTAATAAAACAGATCAATATGAAATTACAGAAGCATTACATTTTTCTGTTAATTGTCACTAATTTGACGCTGTAAAAAAAATTCAGTCATTTCATGGAATCTTTCTTTTTTTCTTTTCTTTTTTTTTAAATGTTTGAAATACATAAAGTCTAAATAACCGCAAAACTTTATTGTGAAAACTTTAATGTGTATCTTTTACACAAAAGAAATTAAAATGTTATGGTTATTAACCATAACAAGTTTTTAATGTTATTTGTATTTTAGAAATATGAAAAAAAATAAATAAAAAAAACAAGAAAAAAAAGAAAGATAATGGAAATCATAGAAAAAAATCTCTAAACTGACCTTAAATTCACATGAAATGTGTATATTTTTATTTATTTTTGGTCTGTTTAATGTTTAATGAAGGACACTGACATTACCTTCTATGTAGAGTAATAAGATATAATCCTGTAAAAGTCCATATTTTTACAGAGCAGGTCTGTGAGTTATTAATGTCCACAGCAGCTCAGTTCTTAATTTTCCTCAAATAGAAACTGTCCAGCTGAGATCTGACCTCCACAAACTCATTTTCACACAGAGACACAGTGTGAAAAGAAGCACGTAGAGAGTGTGTGAATACAGTGTGTGTCTGTGTGTGTTGGGTACCTGCCAGGTGGGGTCAGCCTGTTGTGTTGTGTTGTGTTGTGTTGTGTTGTGTTGTGTTGTGTTGTGTTGTGTTGTGTTGTGTACCTGCCAGGTGGGGTCCGCGTGTCTGTAGTAGCAGAAGTTCTCGGTGATCCACTGGTAGATGCTGGACAGGGTGATCTTGCTCTTCTTGCTCGCCTTCATCGCCATGCAGATGAGGGTCGCGTATGAGTACGGAGGCTTGATGCGCGGGTTCGTCTTGTAGTCCACGTCGTCGGGACAGTGTCCGTGCGCCACGATGCCCGGCAGCGACTGTAACCGACTGTAGGCCGCCGCCGTGGGCTTCCCCGGGGTCAGAGGCGTCCCCATGGAGGCGGGGTCCCCGGCCAGAGGCGAGGCCGGAGCGTCGGAACCCAGCTGCCCGAACAGGTGCTGCTGCTGCTGCTGGACGCGCTGCGGCACGTTGGCACCGAGGATGGAGAACTCCTGCAGCCACTGCAGGCTGGTCAGGCTGTCGTCCAGACTCACCGAGCTGCTGCAGCTGCTCACCGCGTCCCGCTCCTCGGCCTGCGCAGCCGCGGTCACCACCTCCTCCTCCAGCCCCACCGAGCCTTCAGGCCACGGGTCCGCGCAGCTCAGAGACAGCATGACTCCGTCCGACACCGCTCCGTCTCCTCCTCCACCTGCCTCCGCTCGAAGGGACTGAAAATACACCGAGAGAACCGGACAGTGACGTCTATTAGAAAACGGCCTCTGTGTGCGTAAAGTGCGTAAAAACATCCAGATCCACATTTAATTCCTTCTGCACGTCTATCATCTGGATGGATGTTGGAGTTTAAATTTAGGAACATTTAGAAAACCTAAAAAGAATAAAAGAAAATCTGCTCTTTTATCTCTGCGGCTCGTAGAACTTTCCTGAAAACTCTGTTGCGCACTTGACGCTGAGAGGAGCGCACATCAGTGTGACGGCATCCGCAGCTTCACGCAGACATTCAACGGTTAAAAACTTAAAAAATAAAAAATAAAAAAAAAACGCCTCTAACAGAGTTTCATCATTTACATGAGATTTGCACTGAGAACTCTGAGGAAATTCAAAAATGTTTTACGCGTAAAATTAGCACATTTGTGTGTCCAGGCACCAAAGTTAATATTTAAAACAATTAAAAGTACTCAATTACTCGAACAATTTAACAGTTAATCTTCAATAGAATGATATTTGTAAGACTATTCGTCGCTGTGCAGGTGAATTAGTGGATAATTAGTTGTAAGGCCTCCTGCTGGATAAATGACCTCTTTGGAATAAACATCCAAACTCACCTTTTATCAGCTGAAATGTTGATTTTCTGTTAAATCCTGAACTCTCTGAAGCTCTCTGTGCACCTGATGTCTGTTTGTGAGCCACAGAAAGAACAGAAAAGATAAATTCCTGCGGTTCCTTCGGTCTCTGGTTCTCCTCCTCCGGTTCTCTCAGTTTAATACCTGCAGCAGGAGGTTTGTCCAGCACCATAGAAACGCTACACCCCCCTATAAACAGCTTCGCGCTCCTCCATTGGCCGGCCGGTTTCCATGGCACCTCATTTTTAATCACTCTCCAGTCAACTGAGGCTGCAGGTTCTCAAGCAGCGGCCAGCGGCCCCTCCAGGGGCCCTGCAGGGACTTTAAGGATTATTTTCTTATTAAACCAGAAAGAGCTGGTTGGTTTCAGCTGGTAGAAGATTCTGTGGTGACTTTTCTTTATTAGCCTGAAAACATCAATATGCAAACTTCTTCTGTAGTTTCTCTGAACAGCTTAGAAAAACAAGTGAGATTTAATTCCATTTTTTAGGCTCTTTATTCCCTATTTAAGTTCAACTTTGAGGTGCCTTTGCTTCCACTTTTATTTGATATACTTTGATTATTTTAATTATTCCATGTATTGTACACTGTAAAAAATTTTATTCTATTTTTAAAAATCTTTAAAACAAAGGCGGAAATGCCCTTTTGTTTAAAAATATTAGCAAAATTACAATAACAGACATGTCTAATGTAAAGTAGCATTAAAAACCTGCAACTGTGAGCAACCATACATTTTTTATTCTTTAAAAATGACATTTTCTTTTTTATTTTATAGTATCCTATTCATTTTATAAGCTTTTTTTTTCAAAGTGAATTCATTCATTGTAAAGGTGGAAATATTCAATTCTACTGATGACAGACTTCTACACTTTTATGCAGTTTTAGTTCTGATTATTTGTAGTATAATATTTACATTATTTTATTTATAAATAAGTTATTTTTACAGATAAATATCATTATAAATCATTATATATATATATATATATATATATAAAATGCTTAAGAGCTCATGTAAATTACTAATAACTGTATTTTAATTCTAGAAAATTACTGTATTTTCCTGAATTGTTGATTTTCTGTTATTTTCTGGGGATTTTTTTTGGCCACATGATACCATTTTTACCAGATTTATTTACAGTGTTGGTGCTGCAACGTCACTGAAAATGAAGGATCCTATCAGTGTAATTTTATTAATTTAAAATTATTAATATTAAAATGAATACTGATGACGATAACGTCATACACCTAGTCTAAATCTCAAAGGGAAATATTGCACTTTTTGTTCCACTGTATTTATTTAACAGTTCCAACTTTCCAGTTTAATATTTTTGGATTATAAACACATTAAAGGAAGTTTATTAAATAAAAAAGCAAAATTATTAGAACAATGCTTTTTGGACTGGAAGCTTGTCAAATGATCATAAACATACACCCAAAAAAGACAACATTTAAGAAAAATCCCAAAAAGAATAAAACACATTTTTGTGCTGACAGTCGGTTAGATTTAACAGGTGATGCTCTGCAGGCTGGAAACAGCCGGACTCAGCCAGTTAACTCAGTGGTTAAAAGCAGCTCCAGCTGCAGAAAACACATGGAGTTTGATGCATCGAGATCAATGATCTGTCAGAATCTTTCATAGATTTACTACAGATCTTCTGGAAATATGACAATCTGCTGGGTCAAAAATTTACATTCAGCAACTTGAAGTATCAGTTTTGGTGATGTAAAAAGTTGTGTTTATCAAATGTTTTTAGTTTCATGGCCTCTAAACTTCTTGTGAGTGATTATAATGAGCCAATTTAAATAGGGATCATTTAATAATGTCAGTCACAAACACTTCAGTGGGAAAGTCTGAGGAGCTCAGCAAAGATCTGAAAAAGTAAATTAATGATTTTAACAAGTCAGGAGAGTCACTTGGAGCCATTTCAAAGCAGCTTCAGATCCCAAAATCATCTGTGCAAACAGTTGTTTCTAAGTATAAAGGCCAAAGTTGTGTCACTGCCACAGTCAGGAAGAAAACATAAACTATCACCTGCTGCTGAGAGACAATCAGGATGGTCAAGAGTTAACCAAGAATCACCAAAAATGCAGGTTTCTAATGAATCAGAAGCTGCTGGAACACAGCTGTCAGTGTCCACCGTGTTTTACATCAACATGAGCTGAGAGGCTGCATGAAGACGGAAGTTCTTCCTCCAGAAGTAGAACCTTAAAGATTAACTGAAGTTTGCTGCTGATCACATGGACAAAGTTCTGTGGTCAGATGAAACAAAAACTGAGCTGTTTGGCCGCAAATGACCAGAAATATGTTTGGAGTCTAGAAGGTGAGGCCTTCAACCCCAAGAACACCAAACCTACCATCAAGCACGGTGGTGGTAGTATCATGCTCTGGGGCTGTTTTTGCTGCCAGTGGAACTGGTGCTTTATACAGAGTAAATACAATAATGAAGAAGGAGGAGGATTATCTTCACATTCTTCAGGAAAACCAAAAATCATCAACCAGAAGGTTGATCTTGGACACAGTTGGGTGTTCCAACAAGACAATGACCCCAAACACACATCAAAAGTGGAAAAGAAATTAATAAATTGGGCTAGAATTTAGGTTTTAGACTGGTCTCCCCAAAGTCTTGACTTAAACCCATCAAGAACCTGTGGACTGATGAAGAAACACGTCTGTGTCAGAAGGACAATAAACAGACAAAGATTCATGTATGTCAATGATTCTGTCATAGGAGTCATTGAAAACTCTAGACTGCCATGATAAACATGGTCTTTACAAGTGGATGTAAACTTTTGTTCACGACTGTATTTAATCAACTTAAAGTTGGTTCCAGTGTTTGGACTTGCTGAGGGGGAGGCGAGTGTGAAGGAATGTACTTTTGTCCATTAGACAGACGGCAGAGAAAAGAGAAACAAAAAGGTTTGGCCCCTCCAGCGTTCTATTAGTGTGGCTCACTGGTTTCCTGAGGCTCACAAAGGACACTGTAAAGCAATAAAAAGGCTTCTTCATCTGTGCAACGTCTTCAGAATGCTGCTGCTGGAACAGATCGGAGCGTCCACACAGTATACATACATGTACGTATGTATATGCTAACACACATAATATATTTATATATCAAACATTTTATAGGTTCTTCTAAATTTGAGGAATTCTTTTAATTATTTTCCCAAGTTCATTTATTTTTAGTATTATTGAGGTTTGCAGCGTTTAGTTGGGCAGCTGAATAACATTTATTAGTATTTGCTTCATTTTTAAAACCCAACTATTAATTGAAAAAAGTGAAAATGAAATGGTAATTATTAGTTGCACTCTTTTGCAAAATATTAAAAAATGACCATCTGTATAGTATTTATAGGAACATAAAAGAAGCATTGTTGCCTCGCAGCTAGAAGGTCACCGCTTCACGTCCCGGTGAGGACACCCAGGATCTTTCTGCGTGGAGTCTACATGTTCTCCCCGTGCAGCGTGGGTTCTCTCCGGGGTCTCCAGCTTCCTCCCACAGTCCAAAAACATGTTGAGGTTAATTGGTGATTCTAAATTGTCCATAGGTGTGAATGTGAGTGTGCTTGGTTGTCTGTCTCTAAGTGTAGCCCTGTGATAGACTGGTGACCTGTCCAGGGTGTCTCCTGCCTTCACCCTGAGTCAGCTGGGATAGACTCCAGACCCCCATGACCCTCGTGAGGATTAAGTGGTGTGTAGATAATGGATGGATTTTCCCTGTTCATGACAGAGATCTAGAAAAATCACAGAAAGAATAAATCATTAATATATTCTTTCAAATAGGAATTAGTTCTTTAACAATGTTTGACTGTAAAATGAGTTTTACTGTATTTAAATAAGCAAAACATGTTTTTTTTATATAGATATTTGCTGTTATTTTCTTGTTTTTCTTGTTGTTTCTTTTTCTGACTTTCACTCTTCATCGATGGAGGGCTTTACGGTGAAGAAGGAGCGTTTGACAGATTGTCATTGAGTGAAAACAGTTTTTATTTGAGTCACATCACAGAGCTGCAGATGAATTTTCCTCCTTCACGTCACAGCATTTAGTTCGTCCTGTTGGTCAAAGGTCACAGCAGGAGCAGCGAACCACAACAACCAGAGAAGATCGACCTCCATCAGGACAAAAAGACAGACAGACAGATTACTGAGGGGAAACACACATGTCCCAGACAGACACACAATATAATCAACATGAGACACAAAACAACCACAAAGGGACTAAATGTCCTCAGACATGCAAAACAACTGCGAAGATGTACAGAGACACAAAATGATGACTAAGACGTTAGAAATAACTGCATAAAGGATCAAAAGCATTACAAATGCCTTCACAAAGAGACACAAAACTACTGAATAGACACAAACTACTACAAAGACCATTAAAATGTAGGCAGAGAGACTCAAAAGGTCTACAAATATGTGAAAAAAACACCACTAAGCAGATGCAATAGAGCTAAAAAGAGAACACAAAGAGACACACAACAACATTTGACCCCAAAGAGATGAAAAACGATTCCTAATAAATTCCAAAAGATCACAAGTAGGCAACAAACCATCACAAAGAGACAATAAATGACCTGAAATATACAAAATGACCATAAAAAGACACAAAAAAGAGGCACAAGATGACTACAAAGACAATAGGAACTGGTGCAGAGAGGTTCAAATGGACTACAAATACCCTCACAGAGAGACGGAAAATTTCTTCAAATACATGTAAAGCCTCAGAACGACACAAAACAACCAGCAACAGGTAAAGAACCAACACAAAAAGAGCTACAAAGACGATTAAAAGGACGACAAAAAGGTAACAAACCACCACAAAGAGATGCAGCTTGTTCCCAAAAGATTGCATCTTTAGTTTTGATGAGTTTTGGTAAAGTTTTGAGGTAAAGTGTCATGAAGCAGAACTCCTACCGGACCTCATGCAGACCTTTGTGTAGTAAGGTGGACATGAAGCCAACAGCAGTTTGTTTTTCTGTTTGTTTAATCCAGTAGCTACAGAGACGATTGTACTTTTTAATGATTACAGCGAGCAGCCTGCAGACACAAGATTACGTTTACAGAAGTCCTCACCTGAGTTTCTTGCTGGTGGAGGCCATCTTGTCTTGGAGCTTTAAAAGGAAGCTGCTCTTTTATTGGTTCACTGAGTAGGCGGGATCTTGTATTTAATTGGATAAAAGCTGTATCCTGATTGGCCAATTTCAACCAGAAGGCTAAAACTCTTCTATATATATATATGTGAGTGAGCTGGGAGAGAAGCAGGTTCTGGTTTGTTCATGAAGGCAGCACAATGCAGCTCTGCTAACTGTTGGATACAATTTGTGAAAGTTATCCTCTCAGTTTTTTCTTTTGCTATTTTCATTTTTAATTTTGGAGATTTGCTGTTTGTATAAAAATTGCAGATAAACTGGTTCCTGTTTTGTACGATGTTTGTCCCCCACATGCCTCAGAAGGCTTCCTAGACCCTCCATGCAACACAAAATGTCCTCAGATAGGTAAAATGACCACAAAATGACACAATGGGACACAGTATGACTACAAAGACAACAGAAGTAATTGCAGAGAGGCTCAAAAGGACTAGAAACATCCTTACAAGGAGACAAAATGTCTTGAAATAGATACAGAACCATCCAAGAGAGACGCAAAATATTCTTAAATTCACAAAATGACCACAAAAAGACACGAAACAAATAGTAAAAGGTGAAAAACAACCACAAAGAGACACAAAATGACTACAAAGAGACAAAACAGGTACCTACAATTACCACAAATACACACAAAACAAACACAAAGACAATGAAACGGCTCCAGAGGAAACACAAATGACCGCAAATAGATGCAAAACTACCACAAAGACAATAAAGACGACAACAGGAAAAGTCGTAAGGGAGACAAATAGGTGATAAATCATCCCAAAGTATCGGAAAATTACCACGAACAGACTCAGAATGACGACAAAGACACAAAACAACAACAAACACAGTGATAAGGAGGACAGAGGAAGCCAAAAGACCAGCAAACAGGTGAAAAGTGTGATATTACAATTCACTTTATCATTTTTATACATTTTATGGAGAAAAAAACATTCAGGTAATTTACAATATTTACATCACACTGCATGACATATGTAGACATCATGCAACAGTTTGAGGCCAAAATAAAGCAGCAGTTTTATTAGAGAACTCATTTAACACAAACAGATGTCTACACAACTAGTTTAAAAGCACAGCATCAGTAAATTAAAGTTTCTTTCAGTTTGAAATCTAACAAACATTAAATATCCAAAGTTCTTCTGCTTCCTCAGTGTTCAGGTGTAATTCTCCCAGTCACACAGACGAGGGCGCTGAATACTTTTAAACCAAAATCCAAAGACAGAACAAAGTTTTTATTGACTGTACAGTACACTTCTGTCCTGCATTTATATTTACCAAAAAAAGTCTAATTACACTTTTTAAATATCAAACAACTATAAGAATTTGACAGAAAAAACTCAGTGAGGCAAAGGAAAAGCAGAAAAGAAAATAATCTCAAGAGTCACAAACAAGTTATTCTGTTTGTTTTTTAAAAAATAATTTGTCCTTTTCTTTTTGTTTCCATCTGCCTGTTTCTCATGAATCATCATCTTAAATGTCGTTTTTATAGCCTGAAATTTATTGACAAAAATGAAAATATCAGCACAGATTTGAACCTGATGTTTTTGTGAATCCAGCAGACGTGAAGACAAAGTTCAGTCTCTGGTGTTAATGATTCACCGTCCAGTTGAGCTGAAGGTGAACCAGCAGCACAACAACACAACTCAGTAACAACAGCTGCAAGAAACAAAGTCAACAACACGACTGGTTTGACTGTAAACAAACAATATAAATGTATA